AGTAAAAGTCTTTTTAACAAGTATAGATTACATAATGTTGCACATATAGAGTAACAAATCATGGTTAGAAGGAGACACTGTCATTTTCCCAACTTGTGATGCATGCTTTCTGTAGGTTTCCATCTACAGCTGTCATTTACCTGAGGTGTTGAGTTTTCCTCTAATGGTGCCGGTCAGCATGTCTATCTCCGGGACAGTGTCGGCCACAGGCTTTTGGGGTAGTAAGGGATTAATTTTAGCAGCCTTGTGCCCATGTGCTCTGTATGCCTCCACCAGACGAGCAAGACCATGATCTGAGCACAAAGCAAAACACCAGGCCGCTGTGAGATGAGTTGTCCCAAAACACACTGCAGATTCAATGTCAGCCACTGGGTGCAACCTCGACTGATCGCAATAAAATCATCCTCTAATTTAACAATTTAAATGGGAATTAGATGTTTTACACAAGTATAAAACGAATACAGTAGTAAATAACAAAACAAACCTGAATGCATACATGGTCAGCATTAGCGTTATTTTAGCACGACAAAGACGCCTTCTTATCTGGTGATGTTAAGTTTTTGAATTAACCCCCTACTGACCTTGATTCAGTGCCGCGATGCAGTCGCTCTGCAACTTGTGGCACCTCTCTGTCTGTTTAGGCCGGTATCCATAAACACCTTTCTCGGTGTGGTAACAGCAGCCGACAACCTGCCGGGCGACACAGGGTGGCAGTCTGCTCAACGACGTTTTCAGGAAAAGTAGGGCCGACATGTTTTTAAGTGTACGTTAAAGCTTTATTTAATCTTTTAGCGGCGCACACAGGCCGACGTTTAAGGAACAGCGGCCATAACGTTACAGCAGAAAGAGGCACGTTATGGGAGGAGACGCCGTATCGGAAGCTTATTGGCTCAGGTTCCTGCACTCGTTTCACAATAGTCACCAATGAAATCTTTCCTCTTTAGTTTTTTTTTTTTGTTTGTTCATACTTTTGTTCCAGGTTTATTCAACACAATATTTGTATTTGTAGTATACGAAGATCCATTTTGGAGCAACGGTGCATTATGTTTAAGCTAGCTAAGAAATTCAAAGGTAAGTGAAGTGGCCCCTGTGACGTTGCGCAACAAGTGCAACGAGGTTTGTGCTGCGTTCACGTGCTCCTTGTAAATCCCATATTCCCTATTTGAAAGTTGGAAATCAGGATACCAATTGGTTTTGGTTAGAAACTGATCTTTTTCTATTTTATTGCCTTTATTCTACTTATTAATTGCTCAAGTCCCATTACTTTTAAATTGCATATAGGTGACGAATTAAAGTGAGTAGAAGTATGTGAATCAGAGAGGTGGGACCAAGACATTGTTTTACAAGTCACAAGTAAGTCTGAAGTCTTAGCACTCAAGTTACAAGCAAAGTCCCAAGCTGAGACAGTCAAGGCTGAATTCATAATGTGCTCTTCACCAAATGTAATAGCATTTCATATTTCTAACAAGAAATGAGAAAAATGAAAAATATCTTTATTGAATAAAGCGTTAACCTGTACAGAAAAAAAGGCAGAGGTGTCACACAACAAATGTCATATAATTTTTTTTTTAAATAATTTATATTTGGGCTTGAGGAGGGTGTCAAGTCAGTTAGAGTCAAAAGGCTCAAGTCCAAGTGAAGCGTCATTGGTGTTAAAGTCAAAGTCGAGTTGCAAATCTTTTTTGATTTTGTCAAGTCGATTGTAAAGTCATAATAATTTGTGACTCGAATCTGACTGGAGTCCAACTCGTGACTCGAGTCCACACCTCTGGTGAATCATATGCCTTCACAGATCTCAACCCAATTGAACACCTATGCAGGATTTGAGTAATTTGTGCTAGACTAGACAGCACTTTAAACACAGAAATGGAGTTCATCACTCCAGTAGAATTACAAAGACCAGTCTATGTCAGTGTGCATTACAGTTTTCAGGAGGCTTGTTTTCATCTTGTTTTCAACATTTTCAATGCTAATTTCTGAGCTAAACATATTAAAACAATTGTTTTCCAAACAAGACTTTCAACCTGACATTTAAATGAAAGACATTCGTCTGTTAAATTACCCAAGTATATAAAAGAGGAAACTTAACTTAATTTGCCTTGCGCTGCTACAATTTGCCTGTGACTCAAGATGAGCCCTGTTCCTGTTTCCCGAGAACAGCATTGACTGTTATATCAGAATTGGAGGACAGCCTGAGTTCACACAGCTGAGAGCTTGGACTTAAAAATGGTAAATCCAGCTGTGTAAATGTCTTATTATTGGTAAGAGTACATGATCATGCATGAATGTGAAAATCAACATCAGGCACATCCTGACCAATCTTAGATAAATGATAACGAAAAGAAGTTCAAAACCTTGTATCTAAAACACTCGAAGAGAGACCGGTATCAAACCAGCGTGGTGCTTGTTCAGATAACCCAGTGCTCTGAAACCTATTTCCAATTCAGAATGTCCTAGTCCTTATCAATAAGATAAATCACAACATGGTTTATTATCAGGAGACTTAATGTTATCAGTCACGACCTGTACAGTTAGTCCAATTATACCAAATTGTTCTGCTCACCTGGTAGGCTTTCTAAAGTACATATATAGTAGGCATACAGTTATCCAAGGAAGGTTAAAATCAACTGGCAACTGGACTTGGTTGAAGATACAAGAAGACGTTTCATCCCTTTTTGTTTGTAGAGATTTGAAGCTAAAGTTGCACAGTAGACTGAGACAACATGTCTGGTTTACTGTAGGACCTCCACCACTGGGTGGAGATGTTTGACATCATATAGCATTTTGTAGAAGGAAAAGGTAAACTGTAAGAAGCATTTGGTCTTATAAAGTCATAAGGGTACTTTCCCTTGCTTTCAGAAATCTTAACTTGGGGTAGAGAAAATGTCAATTTGCTGTAACATGAAAGGATGAAAGCATATTTTCACCAACACCTCAATAAAAAATCATTATACAGCTCTTTAAATACCCAGGGTACATTCCTATACCCATACTATTGTATATGTTCCAATATGTAGTATGTCAAGTGCAGTATGCCAAAAATACCAGGATGTTCTACTGGATCCGGTCACATTTTGCAGTATAAAAGCCAGCAAGCTCTTGTGGCTTTTTTGCCCACAATCCTATGCACAACATGAGTATGAGCAAGAAGATCAAAGTTCAAGGCACAATGTTAGGATTAAGTAGTATGTTCCAACTGTATGCATACTGCATGCAACAGTGCGTGCTTTGTGAGGGCCGCTGCGTTATTTACTAAAACTAAAAAGTATGTACTTTGTAACGCAGCACCAGTCTGCGAAGTGCTCGGTCCATAGCTTATGATGGCTGGGGTAAAGACAGAGCTGCACACCATCTGCAGATTTACCTGGTACAATATACACATATACTGGCTGCCACTTCTGGAGCCATTTTGTTGGTATAGTCAGGGCCATTGTGTTTGAAGGCACAACATTTTTCAGCTTTCCAAAACATTGGTAAACATCAGGCTTCTAGGTACAACTACTATTTTAATGTACACTGCTCAAAAAAATAAAGGGAACACTTAAACAACACAATGTAACTCCAAGTCAATCACACTCCTGTGAAATCAAACTGTCCACTTAGGAAGCAACACTGATTGACAATCAATTTCACATGCTGTTGTGCAAATGGAATAGACAACAGGTGGAAATTATAGGTAATTAGCAAGACACCCCCAATAAAGGAGTGGTTCTACAGGTGGTGACCACAGACCACTTCTCAGTTCCTATGTTTCGGTCACTTTTGAATGCTGGCGGTGCTTTTACTCTAGTGGTAGCATGAGACGGAGTCTACAACCGACACAAGTGGCTCAGGTAGTGCAGCTCAACCAGGATGGCACATCAATGCGAGCTGTGGCAAGAAGGTTTGCTTTGTCTTTCAGCATAGTGTCCAGAGCATGGAGGCGCTACCAGGAAACAGGCCAGTACATCAGGAGACGTGGAGGAGGCTGTAGGAGGGCAACAACCCAGCCTCTGCCTTTGTGCAAGGAGGAGTAGGAGGAGCACTGCCAGAGCCCTGCAAAATGACCTCCAGCAGGCCACAAATGTGCATGTGTCTGCTCAAACGGTCAGAAACAGACTCCATGAGGGTGGTATGAGGGCCCAACGTCCACAGGTGGGGGTTGTGCTTACAGCCCAAAACCGTGCAGGACGTTTGGCAGTTGCTAGAGAACACCAAGATTGGCAAATTCACCACTGGCGCCCTGTGCTCTTCACAGATGAAAGCAGGTTCACACTGAGCACATGTGACAGACGTGACAAAGTCTGGAGACGCCGTGGAGAACGTTCTGCTGCCTGCAACATCCTCCAGCATGACCGGTTTGGCGGTGGGTCAGTAATGGTGTGGGGTGGTGTCTTTCTTTGGGGGGGCCGCACAGCCCTCCATGTGCTCGCCAGAGGTAGCTTGACTGCCATTAGGTACCGAGATGAGATCCTCAGACCCCTTGCTATGCTAGACCTCATGTGGCTGGAGTGTGTCAGCAGTTCCTGCAAGAGGAAGGCATTGATGCTATGGACTGGCCCGCCCGTTCCCCAGACCTGAATCCAATTGAGCACATCTGGGACATCATGTCTCGCTCCATCCAGCAACGCCACGTTGCACCACAGACTGTCCAGGAGTTGGCGGATGCTTTAGTCCAGGTCTGGGAGGAGATCCCTCAGGAGAACATCCGCCACCTCATCAGGAGCATGCCCAGGCGTTGTAGGGAGGTCATACAGGCACATGGAGGCCACACACACTACTGAGCCTCATTTTGACTTGTGTTAAGGACATTACATCAAAGTTGGATCGGCCTGTAGTGTGGTTTTCCACTTTGATTTTGAGTGTGACTCCAAATCCAGATCTCCATGGGTTGATAGATTTGATTTCCATTGATAATTTTTGTGTGATTTTGTTGTCAGCACATTCAACTATATAAAGAAAGGAAGGAATATTTAATGAGATTATTTCATTTATTCAGATCTGGGATGTGTTATTTTAGTGTTCCCTTTATTTTTTTCAGCAGTGTATTCTCAATCCAACAAGGAAACTGTATAGTAAAAGAAGCAGAGATGCCAGTTTCTCCTCCCACAACAGTCATGTACAACAGACGCTGTAGTAGGGCACTCTGGGAAAATAACAGTCTCAAATAGCTGAGGCAGGTGATTAACCTAGAAAATGTAAACATTTTTACTTTAGAATAACCTCAAGACACACTGATTTCCGCAGTGACTAGACATTGACTTCAGTATGAGACAAGTGCATCCCTGCTGGTGTGGAAAACGCTGTCAGCAAATTAGTCTCTAAACATTTGGAAAATATGAAGATACTGTCTGGGGTGCAACTAATAATTATTTTCATTATCAATTAATCTGATGATTAATAGTCTGGTTTATAAAATGTCAGAAAATTCTTATAAATTGTCTTCACAATTTCCCAGAGCCCAAGCCAAGGTCTTCTATAACATACAAAAATGAGATATTCAGTTTCATCAAACTGATGTTCAATTCTGTCTGACTTATCATTTTCAGCTCTGACAGCATTAATCCACTATCATAATTGTTAGCGATCAATGGTCTTGATCAACTTAATCTTTTAACTACTACTAGAGTCTAAAATAACATGTCTTTCTACAGTTTAGCTATAGAGGCCTTTTTAATTAACATATAAGAGACCCCAGCCCATTTAACACCAGGGAGTTAGATAAACCTGATTTCCACCCGTCTGTTACTGCTCAGAAAAAAGCAAAGAAGCACAACGAAGAGAAACAAGTTAGCGAGACATGACACACTGGGGGAGGGAGGGGTGGTTTGTAAAATGTCTTCACAACACTGGACAAGCACAACACACAAAGACACACAGTCCAT